GGCAGGCTATTGATATACAGACTTAACTTAAGCACGTTACAATTAGTCAAATACGGATACAACGCAATTTTTTATTAGTTCAATGTATAATTAATTTATATTAGTTTTCATTTAAATTATCTTCTTATAAGATATTGCGATATAAAGTGTCCCAGTATCTGTTCTGCCGCTCAAATGGTAAATTATATAGAGTTTTTCAATATTTATCGCATTTCAAATTGTAAGCTACATATTTCTAACGTTAAGCCAAAAATCTAAATGTGATACATACTGCTGTACACCTTCCTACTCTAGATATTACTGTAATGATTTGAATAATTGAATCAAATAAAGTTTCTGATTCTGATTTGATAATTGCATAAGCTCATTCCTGTTGGTTTAACCTTATCGTGGGTGAGGCTGGTGTACTGTGGGCAGCCACTCACCACTCAAAAGTGACTGGTAGACGAGAAATGTTATCATAATGTTGTTAACACACATTTATCGTGTTCAGGTGGGTACGTCGTCAGCCATTATCATGCACGTGTTCACTGCACACGTGCTCATCCCCGTGCACGTGTTCAGGTGTGTACACGTGATCATTCCCGTGCACGTGTTCAGGTGTGCACACGTGATCATTCCCGTGCACGTGTTCAGGTGTGTACACGTGATCATCCCCGTGCACGTGTTCAGGTATACATATGGCTGACTGTGAAAAGTTTGCAAGATATCGTTGCAAAGCCTTGCTAAAATCCTTTACATAATTATATGTTAAGAACCTTGCTCTAATTATATTTTTTACTCCGTGCAAGAATATATCAACGCAGGAGTTTCTTGTTCTATTCCTTGACACGTTTGTAATACCATTATTTAACCTGGCAGTGTTGCCATGCAATTGTCCACCATGCTATAATTCTGTTCAGCGAGGGTCGTACGTGAGTCGTCTTCTCCATAATGAACTGTTAAGGTATGTTCTATTTAGATTACATTGTGATTCTATGTAATTGAAATGTGTATTCACCTAGTTGTACTTGTGGGGGTTGAGCTCTGTTCTTTCGGCCCGCCTCACAACTGTCAATGAATCAACTTTATTTTTTTCCACACGCTCACACACACACACACACACACACACACACACACACACACACACACACACACACACACACACACACACACACACACACACACACACACACACACACACACACACACACACACACACACACACACACACACACACACACACATGCGGCCCCAGCATGAAGCCCGTACCTTGTCAAGCCCAAAACGAAGCTGAAAAAAGTTCAGAGGTATACCACTAGACTAGTCCCAGAACTAAGAGGCATGAGTTACGAGAAAAGGCTGCGTGAGATGCACCTCAGGACACTGGAAGACAGAAGAGTAAGGGGAGACATGATCATTACCTACAAAATTCTCGGAGGAATTGACGGGGTAGATAAGGATAAACTTTTTAACACGGGTGGTACGCGAACAAGGGGACACAGGTGGAGGCTGAGTACCCACATGAGCCACAGAGACGTTAGAAAGAACTTTTTCAGTGTCAGAGTAGTTAACAGGTGGAATGCCTTAGGCAGTGATGTGGTGGAGGCTGACTCCATACATAGTTTCAAATGTAGATATGATAGAGCCCAGTAGGCTCAGGAATCTGTACACCAGTTGATTGACAGTTGAGAGGCGGGACCAAAGAGCCGAAGCTCAACCCCCGCAAGCACAACTAGGTGAGTACAACTAGGTGAGTACACAGGAAAGAACCCGTAGCAGCTGTCTAACTCCCAGGAACTTATTTACTGCTAGGTAACAGGGGCATCAGGGTGAAAGAAACTACCCATTTGTTTTCTCACAATTGCCGGGGATCGAACCAGGACCCTAGGATTACGAGTTCCAAGCGCTGTCCTCTCAGCCACAGGCCCCGTTTGTGATCAAATGCCTTTGATTTATTTCTTAAGAAGTAGCCTGTATTTATAAGGTGACTGAAGATGGACTTTCAACAGGACGTTACAGTCTATGTTGCAAGCTCAACCACTTGGACTTGACGGTAAAACGACGGTTTCGTTTCTTGTAGATTAGCGTTCAGTCTCCGACCATTCAAGTGCTTGGGCACCATTCCTCCTCTCCGTCCAATCCCAAACCCTTATCCTCATCCTCTCCAAGTGCTATATAGACGTAATGGTTTAGTGCTTTCTCTTGATAATTACCTTCCAATGTTGCATCAAGTAATGTGTTTAGGAAATTTGGAGTAACTCGTCCCAATGACTAGTTATGATTGGCCAAGAGGTAAATTATTTACCGATCAACGTGGAGCAGAATAGCCATATCATATGTGAGGCTGCGTCTCTGATTGGCTACTGGGAGTTTACTTGAATTTCAAACCCGGTTAGACTCAGGCAGGCCCTGAAACTGCTACTTTGCTCTTGGTACATATGTCCTAGATTAAAGAAGAAACATTAATTAGTTTCTGTTGCTGTTCATTGAAGGCTGTAGTGTTGCAGAAATGAATATGGATTCAATTACATGAATTGTAAATCCGTTCCATTCTTCTGCGCTCTAGGAGACTCGAACCGCAGACTCTACATGTGTGAGGCCGAATCTTTATCTCCGTTTCATTAACATCATATTAAGGACACTGAAGATCCGCTAAGAGGAGTCAAGTTATCGGGGCGGGAATATTGCAGCTTGGTGAACCAGGAGCTACAGAACTTCCGATGAGAGATGTATAGGCTGGAATAGATTGGTGATCTGCTTGCTAAGACAGGAAATTGAAGACCATCACTGAATAGTGTCATTCACAGAAAAAAAAATGGAAATCATAGTACGATCCCAACATGTTCATGGAACAGTGCACGTTCATCGCAATTCATCAGGGAATTGATGAAATATGTATGATCATAAACCAGGAGTGTAGTGGAATATATGACCCATGTGGGTCTCGCCACCTTCCTACACGTATGGGCTATCACTGGCAGAGTGGGTGTTGTACTGGCCTGCGAGATGGGCTAATGCCTTCGGCTAGGTGCGAATCCTTTGAGTAATAATTAGAGTATTTTGATAACCTGATGATTGGTGATAGTTTAGGCAAAACACTTCAAATCGTTCAGGCTGAATATATATATCTACTGACGACCACGAAACACCGATCAAATCAAATGATGATACGAAAATTTTCCGTTTTCTGTATGCGGAAAACTCAGAGAAATGGGAAATTGGAGTGTTGAACATTTCGGCTGGTTAGAGCCTTTCTCAACACTGTCCTTAATACTATTGTTGAGAAAATCTATTTTGCTCTTTTCATTTAAAAGAATATAAGACAATATAACATTGTGGAAATTGGGAAAGCAAAAAAAGAGTCTGACTCAAGCATTGAAATAAGTGAAATCAACCTAAAGAGCACGACATACATACAACTTGTAGGCTGGGTCCAAGGAGCTATAGTCTATGATATATAAACACTGATAGGCAAGCACAGGCGCGTGTTGTGTTCGACTTGTGTCTGGCGAAAATGAGATCATCAGCTTACGCCTCTCGTCTCTCTTGAATTCTAATCCGATTATTGTGAGTGGCCTGGATTGGCTGAGGTATGTCTTGTGTCGGGTTGGACAGTTTATACCCTCAACACACGTCAAGGATCATTTTCATATTATTATTATTATTATTATTATTATTATTATTATTATTATTATTATTATTATTATTATTATTATTATTATTATTTTGGGGAAGTGAGTTCGGTCTCTTTGATTGCTTCTAAAGTTTTTGATTTATACATCACGCTATTGTAATTTCTTCATATATATATATATATATATATATATATATATATATATATATATATATATATATATATATATATATATATATATATATATTGCAGACCTCACCATTCAAGTGGCGGTTCCCTTGGTAAGTATATTGTGTCGTAGTGGGGGCAATTCGCTTAACTTGACTCAATATTGGTTCCATTAGCCTTTCTAATTAGGCAAGGTAGAAGCGTCTGAACAGGTTCAGTGGTTCGTATTTCTGCGTTCAGAACTGCATTTTATGGAATATTTGAACCTTTGGTTCAAAAATACCACATAAAGTTGTATATAAAATGAGAATAACGTAGTAATATAAAGAACTTTTTGCGTATTGAATATGTTTTTCGCGTATTTAATGAGTTTTTCGCGTATTTAATGCGTTTTTTTCGTGTATTTTATGTGTTTTCCCGTATTTAATGCGTATTTCGTGTATTTACTTTCTTAAAAAATCATGTTCATTTTTGGGAGTTTAACTCTACTGCACCAAAGATTTCTTGAGACAGACGATGTCTTGAGCACCAAAGATGATGTCCCGATCGCCAAAGATGACAGCCTGAGCACCAAAGTTGAAGTCCTGTGCGTGAAGGAGCTGTGCAGCGACTCGCTAGAGCTCCGATGAGCTCGGAATATGGACAACTCAACCAATTGGACTGGTTGGTACAGCGACAGCCTCGTTTCCTGCAGGTCCGCGATCAATCCCCGACTATCCAAGCGAATATGTACCCGTTCATTCACCCCATCCTGGTATCCCAGATCCCAGTCTTCGTACTTCTTCCAAGTACTTTGTAATCATAACAGCTTAGCGCTTTCTCATGATAATTACCATTCATTACTTATTCCTGAGCTCATTAACTATAAATTATCCGAGAGAAGCATCCCAGGTTGAAGAGATGATATTTAAATCCTTCTAATTAATCTCATTAACTCAAAAAGTTATCTGAAGAGAAGTCTTTAATTAGACATATTTATGAAAATTTTGACAGATCTACACAATCGAAGGATAAGAATAGTTCAAATATAAAAGGTAATTATATAGGAATAACGCTCAAGGAAGTGTTATATATATATATATATATATATAATTCAAGGAAGCAAAATCTTAAGTGTAAATAATGTCTACGAAGTAATATTGAGAGCGCGTGTGACGAATAATGACAGAATAATAATAATGAATAATAACACCCCGGAACAATGCCTGGTTCTTACCAACAACCTGCAGTTTGAACGCCCTGGACATCTTGGGCTCTGTGGAGATCTGACATTCGTAAGTGCCGGAATCCGATATCTGGGCAGAAGCTATGCGGAGCGTCCAGTCATCGGAGCCCTCGGAGTGCAGGGCTGTGAACCTGTCGTCGGTGGTGTAGGTGAAGAGCCCCACCGTCAGCACGTGCACGTCCTGCTTCCTGATCCACGTCACCTGCATAACGGCCAGATAGAAGGTCACGTTAGTCACCCTCATGACTCGAAACGTCAATGTGAAAATAAAGTTAAATTTATTGCTGGCGGGGGAGGGGTAAAATACATATCCTAATTCCATATTGACGTCACCTGCACAATACGGATCTTGAAGGTAATTTCAGTCGCCTTTTGAATGATAAAATATATGAAAGTAAAGTGGTATATATTGCTTTGTGGATAATGATAGTGGGAAGAGTACGAACATAGGTTCAGGTCATTGTTACTGCTCAACTGACCCAACCATTTCGGGTGGACGGTAGAGCGACGGTCTCGTTTCATGCAGGTCGGCGTTCAATCCCCGATCGTCCAAGTGGTTGGGCACCATTTCTTTCCCCCTTCCCATCCCAAATCTTTATCCCTTCCCAGTGCTGTATAGTCGTAATGGCTTGTCGCTTTCTCATGATAGTTTTCTTCCCTTCCCCTATTCACCTGGTTCTTGGTTCTAAGACAATGAAAAGAATATGACACACATATTGAGAGTAATTTAAGTACTTAGTTACTCTCTACTTACTCGCTTACTTAGAGAGTACTTAGTTACTCTCTAATTTAAGTACTTAAATTACTCTCAAAGTAATTATTTTGAGAGTAATTTAACATAGAGCAGAGATAATGACAACGAATATTGACCTACAAGTTCTCGTCGACCTGTCATAGTAAGAGTAATATATTGGAAGGAAAATATTATAGTTTCTCTTAGTGATAAGAGTCGTTTTGCAGAACCCAAAATTGACGATTGTTTAAAATATCGACGTTTTTCTTGGGGTTGAGTAATTTCCTTTGTTCCTGGTCCGCACTGTTCGAGAACACCGTCTTCTCCTACTCCCTCTTGTTTGTCTTATGCTTTACTTAATAAGCTTAAGTTAATCAGCTTATTTTCACCAGAAACCTTGGGCAATCTACTTATATATTTGAGCACTGCAAAATATCGTTAGTGATTATAGACTAAAAATTAACTCTGTTCATATATAAGGTACGAAAGAATTTTGTTTATGCACACACTCACACGCACGCACGTGTGTGTGTGTGTGTGTGTGGTCACTGTCCCGTGACCACACACACTGGTGGTGACGGGACAGTGTACGTTTAGGGGTGATCCTGGACGTCATGGGTTCGAATCCTGGCCGGGTCATATAGAGTTCTAAGTAATTATATATATATATATATATATATATATATATATATATATATATATATATATATATATATATATATATATTTATATATATATATATATATATATATATATATATATATATATATATATATATATATATATATATATATATATATATATAATATAGAGTATGATTATTCATATTATACATAGGCCTAAACACATATCTGCTATTTGTCTAAACCTATAGAAAAGGTACAATAAATTGTATAATTAAAATACCCATTGTTATTGTTATTATGAATATATCTCCCTGGTTGACAGCTGAGGTTTGATTATATTCTCTGTTTATTATAAACCATTTTTTAACAGTTGATTTTGTTAATTATATATGGCAATCAACGTTGAATTCTCGTCTTTCCTTGAGTAATGGTTTCGCTTTTATTCTTCGTTTCTCTTTGTTTTTCTTCATTAGTCTTAGGGTTCTTCTAATAGTCGCAGTCCCTTATTAGTCTTTACGTTCTGTATATAAAATGTTTGCTTTCGTTGTTTGCTTTGTTACATATTGGTAAACTTCGTTACGTTCACTCTCGTCAATTAATTATTCGATTTTGCAAAATTTTAAAAAATAATAATTCTTGACACTATTTTATATATTTCTGAAATCATTTATGAAGTGCTCTTTTATATTAAGTTTTCTCCAAAAAGAGGAATGTTCAATTTAAGTTTATCATACAGAATTTGGTAATAAAATCAGCTGTATTGAGTTTATTCGTCACTGATACTTGAAATATGTTTCTTTTATTTTAATACAGTTAATTTAATTCCATATCAGTTTGAAACCTTTCCAAGCGCGTTTTGCCTACAATCTTCCTTTTAAAAAATGCATACACGACAGATCGTTGTTCATGGTGCAACAAGATGATCAACTTGATCAGCTCTCTCTCTGTTGCAAAGCTATTCAACAGCTGCAACACCTAATTATTGTGTTATTTCATCCCAATTTATTCATCCTCTACTTCATATACTTTAAATCATTATAGATTTGCTAAGAGATCTTTTATTTGGTTCTCAAGCATTTATTTCATGTTGTTGGGGACAGGAAGCCTATATTCAAACCAATCGAGGTCCACTAGGCCATTCTGACCTTACGCAAAATACAACCCACAACAGTTAGATGAGCAGAGGCAACATTTAGAAGAAAATGTGCCCAACCATCTCTGTCCTGCACGGAGATTGAACCTGAGTTCCTTGGTTGTAAGCTGAAGATCTAGACTACTGTGCTATATAGTCAGTTTTTTCCCCCCAACTCCGGGACTTTGCAATCGCCACAGTTGAATAATGTTCTTGTTTTGCCTAAAACTTTGCCCGAATGTACTTGGGTAAACAAGTACAAACATTCGGGTAAATATCCGTTGACATATTGGTATCGCAGCGTTCATAAAGATAACATAGTTTATTTTTTGCAGGTATATTCCTGCGCGGGCCCTAAGCCTCTGGCTGGCCCACTAAGTGTTGCTTGTTTCTGTTTTACTTGGGCGGAGTATGAGTATTTATGACTCGTATGGTCGCTTCAGTAAGATTTTGCCATAAGTGTTTAACAACTTCTTCTGCTCTGTTGAATCTAAGTTGAAATCTTAATTGGTTTGTAACTGTGCACTGTGTTAGATCCAGTGGTCTGTCGGGCATTTCTCCACAGTGCTGTTATATAACATAGGTGACGTACCTAGACGTGCAGCAGCCTACTTCAGTGATGTCGGGCAAAACATATAAGTATTTCATTTTTTGTTTTCATTTTTCCTGCGGAAACTGCTTTCAGTAATAACCTCATTCCGCAAAAAAAAAATATCCCGCAATAATCTGTCTCCTTTCCTGCCAACAACACTTTAAACAGTCGCATCCTGTCATTTTATAACAACATTAAGGACAGTCGCCACATAGATAAGCTTCCCGGATATCCTCTACTCCATTTTACCAGTTTTGCTTTGTATCTATTATGCTATGAATGTGAATATCCTTTACCATAAAGGAAGGGAGAATATGATCTGGATATCTATTGTGTTAAGCTTCCCCACAGAGGGTAAACCTGCCTGGGCTCCAGAGCTCGTACTTAACCGGGCTCTATAATTCAAAGATATGTGTAGCTGTGAACAATGTGAGGGAACTATTGGAAGTAAAGAAAAGGTCAATCACGAGAAAGAGCTAAAGCTAGTACAGCTAGTACATCATATTTTGACGTTGGGGATTCACACGTCAAAATTAGATTTCAAAATGCTATTCGAGAGGACAGATTAGATGTAATCACTTTGTTTAGAGAGTGAATGTTAATATATATATTTAAATATATTTTAATTTATACGATTACTCAAAGGGAGTAATTTACTCCTGGTTGCAAGAAATGATTGGATGTTCCTGCCAAGGTAGAGTTGGAAAAAAGTCTTGGGAGCCGCGACGGAGAACTTCATGTTCTACACTACAATGTGTGAAGTTAACGAGAAAAATTTGATTGGCTATCAGCTCGATCGCTACCTCCAACTTTTTCTTGGGGCTGGATGGACATCAGGTTGTGTGTCTGCAAGCTCTTCGTGGTCCAGTGGGGTAACGCGTGCGTTTGGGGAAGCCTAGGACCCGCGTTTAATTCTACTCCCTAGCTCCAAAAGATTTTATTCATAAATATATATCACACTATTGAGGTTTTAATGTGTATTGATGGAGTGTGATTGTACTGGTTATACGGGACTCGGCAAGATATTGATTGTACATCATTGACGGGTGGGCGAGAGTGTATATTTTGTATATATTTATTATGCTGTTTTAATATCTTGTTTCTTCCAAGCTTATGCGTCCTTGCTTGACGAAAGCGGGAAACTAGATAGCGATGATGATAGTGAATATATTCTTTTAGAAGCAGAAATAAACTTGTGTTTTGCATAAAAAAATAGCAGAGTTTAACTAGTAGCAACATTACTATGAACAAGGGAGCACACTTGGAAACGAAGGACCCAAATGAGCCACAGACATTAGAAAGGTTTTGTTCAGTGCCTGGGTGTAGTGGTCAAATGAAATGCACTCTAAAGCGAAGTTGTAAAGGCAGGTTTACAGAGTTTCTAATTAGATAAAATATAGCTCAATAGGTTCGTAAACCTTTGCATAAATTGATTTGAGAGTTGAAAGGCGCGACCAAAGAGCCGAAGCTCAACCCCAGGCAAGCAAAATTGAGTGAGGCGCTAGTAAAGAAATAATATTGTACATAAGTCATCAACACAAACGTAAATATAAATACTAAGGCGCGCGCACACACACACACACACACACACACACACACACACACACACACACACACACACACACACACACACACACACACACACACACCTCCAGTTAATTGACGGTTGAGAGGCAGGACCAAAGATCCAAAGCTCAACCCCCGCAAGGTGAGTACAAATAGGTGAGTTCAAACAGGTGAGTACACACACACACACACACACAAGACGAAGCTGGAAAAAGTCCAAAGGTATGCCACTAGACTAGTCCCAGAACTAAGAGGCATGAGTTACGAGGAAAGGCTGCGGGAAATGCATCTTACGACACTTGAAGACAGAAGAGTAAGGGGAGACATGATCACAACCTACAAAATCCTCAGAGGAATCGACCGGGTAAACAAGGATAAACTATTCAACACTGGTGGGACGCGAACAAGGGGACACAGGTGGAAACTGAGTACCCACATGAGCCACAGAGACGTTAGAAGGAACTTTTTCAGTGTCAGAGTAGTTAACGGATGGAATGCATTAGGCAGTGATGTGGTGGAGGCTGACTCCATACACAGTTTTAAATGTAGATATGATAGAGCCCAGTAGGCTCAGGAATCTGTACACCAGTTGATTGACAGTTGAGAGGCGGGACCAAAAAGCCAGAGCTCAACCCCCGAAAGCACAAATAGGTGAGTACACACACACACACACTCACACACACACACACACACACACACACACACACACACACACACACACACACACACACACACACACACACACACACACACACGGGCGCGCGTGCGCAATAACACTAGCATTAGAAGAGGCGCTGTGTATGACATACGATCCTATTGCTAAGTGCTCGTACTCCACCTTCTCTTGAGTACTTCCCCTTGCTCAGGCCAAGAAGAATGAATTCTCTGTCTCACAAAAGACGCCTTATATATATATATATATATATATGTCGTACCTAGTAGCCAGAACGCACTTCTCAGCCTACTATGCAAGGCCCGATTTGCCTAATATGCCAAGTTTTCATGAATTAATTGTTTTTCGACTACCTAACCTACCTAACCTAACCTAACCTAACTTTTTCAGCTACCTAACCTAACCTAACCCATAAAGATAGGTTAGGTTAGGTTAGGTAGGGTTGGTTAGGTTCGGTCATATATCTACGTTAATTTTAACTCCAATAAAAAAAAATTGACCTCATACATAATGAAATGGGTAGCTTTATCATTTCATAAGAAAAAAATTAGAGAAAATATATTAATTCAGGAAAACTTGGCTTATTAGGCAAATCGGGCCTTGCATAGTAGGCTGAGAAGTGCGTTCTGGCTACTAGGTACGACATATGTCTATATATATATATATATATATATATATATATATATATATATATATATATATATATATATATATATATATATATATATATCTATATATATATATATATATATATATATATATATATATGTCGTACCTAGTAGCCAGAACGCACTTCTCAACCTACTATGCAAGGCCCGATTTGCCTAATAAGCCAAGTTTTCCTGAATTAATATATTTTCTCTAATTTTTTTCTTATGAAATGATAAAGCTACCCATTTCATTATGTATGAGGTCAATTTTTTTCATTGAAGTTAAAATTAACGTAGATATATGACCGAACCTAACCAACCCTACCTAACCTAACCTAACCTATCTCTATAGGTTAGGTTCGGTTAGGTAGCCGAAAAGGTTAGGTTAGGTTAGGTTAGGTAGGTTAGGTAGTCGAAAAAACATTAATTCATGAAAACTTGGCTTATTAGGCAAATCGGGCCTTGCATAGTAGGCTGAGAAGTGCGTTCTGGCTACTAGGTACGACATATATATTTATATATATATTTATATATATATGTCGTACCTAGTAGCCAGAACGCACTTCTCAGCCTACAATGCAAGGCCTGATTTGCCTAATAAGCCAAGTTTTCATGAATTAATGTTTTTTCGACTACCTAACCTACCTAACCTAACCTAACCTAACTTTTTTCGGCTCCCTAACCTAACCTTTAAAGATAGGTTAGGTAGGGTTGGTTAGGTTCGGTCATATATCTACGTTAATTTTAACTCCAATAAAATAAAATTGACCTCATACATAATGAAATGGGTAGCTTTATCATTTCATAAGAAAAAAAAATGAGAAAATATATTAATTCAGGAAAACTTGGCTTATTAGGCAAATCGGGCCTTGCATAGTAGGCTGAGAAGTGCGTTCTGGCTACTAGGTACGACATACATATATATATATATATATATATATATATATATATATATATATATATATATATATATATATATATATATATATATATATATATATATATATATATATATATATAAAATATGGAAGGGAGTACCACCTCTAGCTGGAAGAAGGGGGACCCATAGCCTCGGAGGAAACCACGGAGGAAATATATATATATATATATATATATATATATATATATATATATATAAACAATTAATAACAATTACAGATTTACAGACTGAAGGCATAAGGTCAAAACTATTTTGTTGGCATTATGATACGGAAAATGACTATACTGAAAACATCATTTATTTGTATTTAAACACAATAGGGGTTTCTAGTACTAAATAACGAAATAATTTTATATTTTGATGATACACTCACTGAAATATCTTAAATGCAAGCGAATTTCTGTGTATTTTATGAGATAAAATACAGCTACAGTTGGTTGAGTTACTCATAAATTCTCAACACGTATCATCATGCCTAGAGCTAGTACAGCTTTTCAAGGATTTAAAAAAAATATTATTTGTTTTGAACTTTAGAGACATAGAGTGACATACTGCCAATAATTTACACAATAAATGTTATGGACGACTTAAATAGTTACTGATTTATTCTTTAACACTGTTTTCAAACGCTGCTCATTTATCTTTTACTCAGGTGCTGTTAAAATCTACCTTTTTTCAAACATCTAAATAGCAAAACGATAGTTACATGTTATCCTATTGGAATTAATATCCTATCTTAAATCCTCACATCCCTTCAAAGTGCCTATATAGTCGTAATGGCTTAGTACTTTCTCCAGATATTTATCGTACCTGGATCATTTGAGACTTGAACTAGGAACTCACAGGTAAATTACTCAAAACCTGTAGCTTCCCGAACTCTTGCACTGTTGCAAGGAACGATGCATCACTGTAATTATCTCGCTTTAAAATAAATGGCCCTTTAGTTGCATTAAACTTGTAAGTTCTTGTTCCTGTCTCCGGTTCCTAATATATATGTTAATAACTGTAATAATGAATACTAACAATTTAGTAATTTAGTTTGAGAAATAAAGTTTCAATTTGGTAAATAACGTTTTAGCTTTGGAAAGAAAGTTTCAGTTTGGGAGAGAAAGTTTTAGTTTGGGAAAGTTTCAGTTTGTCAAACATTTCGTTGTTTCGAAATAATCAGTTATATAAAGAGAACGAATATTCGATTTACTTGAGAATATGAAGTGAAAAGAAAGATGAGAGAGATCAGAGTAGATGGAGTCAGTAAAGATAATAAATATCCACAGATGACTATTATGACAATATATCACAAGGTTGAAGATCTGAAGAACATAAGTATAACATTTTTAGCAGTGACAAAATGAACAATAGCGATATATATCTATATATATATATATATATATATATATATATATATATATATATATATATATATATATATATATATATATATATATATAGTAGTAAGTGGTTGCTCAGTAAGTGGTTGTTATTGCCTTAATAACCCTCCATAGATTGATAGGCGTTAATCCAATATCAAACCAAACGGACGATGTTTTAGTTCTGTTTAAAATCTCCAAGTATTATAGAATATACTGTTTATGCGAAGCGAAAACTTAGTAGAGTGGTAATTCATACTGTGGCATGATTATCATGCATAATTCATACCGAGGTATGTTTATCATGCACAATTCGAGTGTGTGTTGGGCTTACCATGCGGTCTAGAGTTGGCGAGTCAAAAAGAAAAAAATGGAAAAACGAAAATAAACTTGCTAATGGACTCTTGTTAAAAATTTACGAATGTGTAAAATGAATATTTAGTTCAGGTGAGATTTTCTCGGTATTAGTGTGAATCTTAAAATTATGAAAGCACGATGTAACTTGTAGTCAAGTAAGATATGTGAGTTTAGACATGAAAGTATGAAAATGAGATGTGAACATTATACAAAAAATGGATTTAACGAATGGAAAGTACAGAAGAAACTATGTAAGAATATGTATCGGACACATTCTTACATAGTTGCTTGGCGGAATGCGATGGAAAGTATATATAACTGAAGAAAAACTGAGTGCTGAAAAGGGATTATAACGTTCAGATAAGCGAGTGCATTAACTATTTGTGCCTGCAGAATCGAGCTGTTAGTTCTTGGATTCCGACTTTTTTGCTTGTGCGAAGATGTGGGTGTCAAGCAGTCAACTGTGCCAAAGGTTCATTGTTTGCTGCAGTTGATGACTAACAGGCACATGGACAAAGCGTATATAACAGGCTAAAGGGTGGTATTTAACAGGCAGTTGAGCAGCAGGTCCGTTGCTTGCTGAGGGTGATGACTGGTTGACAACTGTGCAGAGGTTCATTGTTCGCTAAAATGACAGCCAATTGGGCTAAAGGTCTGTTGCTTGTTATAGTGGATTTATTCCCTCAATTTGACTGTAAATATTAGTTCAAGAGAAGATGGCGCGTACTGTACATATAGAAATAATTTTGAGGTGCAATATTACACTTTTTAATTGTATAATTCTTTTGTGGATTAGGGAAACATGAACAAATCCTCCCCAGCAAGAGTATGTAAGATGTGTAAGATTTTGCGTCTACTGTATGCAAAAGTTTAATTATAATATAATCGTCTTCAGCAATCAAAGAATTATTGAGGGTATGAAAAATATTGTTGGCTAATAAAAATTACAAGAATAACACAAAGTAATTTACCAGAACACAAGCAGTAATATACATATAAGCAAATGCTACACCGACACTGAAACAGCAGGAACCTTCAGCAGTTCCAGCAGTGCCAATCCAAAGGACGGTGTTCAAGGGGAAGTTACAGCAGAGACAACACGTTAACAACGGGCCAACAACATCTTTCCGCATTTTCAACTGCGTCAACTCACCGCACGGTCTCCCAGGTGCTTCACACGGCAGTGCAGATAGGCAGTTCTCCCGACGGCACCAATAACGCGGCTGCTGGTGGAGTTGTCGAAGTGGGGCTTGAGAAGAGGCTGGTCCCACATGGGTGCTGGCCGGGATGGTGGGACGCGCTCCAGGATCCCCTCGCCTCCTGCTGGAAAGGAGAAAAACTGTATTGTTTTACCTTGCACAGCAGTAGTCTTCAATGGCAATTAGATTTTCACATATATATATATTAGGTTGTTGTTCAGTGGAATAAATGAATCATGGTCGCTAATCGTGTGAATTAATTAAGGTCATAAACTGGTGTTTTAGATCAATAATAATTATTGTGCTCTTGCGTCAGGGTTTAGTTGGAAGAGGAGTTCTCCAAAAGTCATGTTCGTTTTCGAGATGAAGAAGAAGAAGTAAATAACTGTAGATTGTATTACACTTAATATAAAATTGCAAAACGTTTCGAACCTACATTGTTCATTCTCATGTGATGTTACAGCAAAGGACATTATATTTATACTAATAGTGGGTGAGGTGGATACAAATGGATCTAAACACCACAGAAAGATCAAATCCCCAGAGGTAGAAACACCATTAATGACGGAAAACTCTTAACTTAGTGCACCACGCCATGACTGAGTATGAGGGCAGGAAATGTGGCCATGTGGTTGTGTGGGGAGCGGGTTAAGATGAGGGTGTTAGGGAGTTTAGTGGTGAGACAAGTTACGATGGAGTGTTTGGCCTGGGTTCTGGAGAACTAGCATCTGTAAATGTTGCGGCTGAAGAAGAGGACAAATCGCTAGGGATGGGAGAGGGGTATTGTTTGGGAACGTTTAAGTTAGGTAACGAAGTGTGGGACGACAAAGTACGGTACTTAACTTCGACAAGGGACGTACTTCAAAGGAGCGTTGGGTGAGGATAGGTGGAATGGTTTCCAGATCTCTGGGAAGTGTGTCGGTGCCTGGTATAATGTGTTGAAAGGCTGAGCAGGAATGAAGGGAGAACGGTGGAGCGGAAGCGAGAGACGAAAATTATTCTGATGAGGATGTATGAGCAGCGCCTGAGAGGGGAGGGGAGGGGGAGGGGGGGGGAGGGGTCGGAGGGTTAAAAGCTTAGATATGTACTCACCTAGTTGTGCTTGCGGGAGTTTTGGCTCTTTGGTGTGTTTTGTTCTAAGTTATGGTTGTATGGTTTTGTTCTCACTAGGTTATGGTTGTATGGTTTTGTTCTCACTAAGTTATGGTTGTAGGGTTTTGTTCTCATCAAGTTATGGTTGTAGGGTTTTGTTCTCACCTAGTTATGGTTGTATGGTTTTGTTCTCACTAAGTTATGGTTGTATGGTTTTGTTCTCACTAGGTTATGGTTGTATGGTTTTGTTCTCACCAAGTTATGGTTGTATGGTTTTGTTCTCACTAAGTTATGGTTGTATGGTTTTGTTCTCACTAAGTTATGGTTGTAGGGTTTTGTTCTCACAAAGTTATGGTTGTAGGGTTTTTTTCTCACTAGGTTATGGTTGTAGGGTTTTGTTCTCACAAAGTTATGGTTGTAGGGTTTTGTTCTCACAAAGTTATGGTTGTAGGGTATTGTTCTCACAAAGTTATGGTTGTAGGGTTTTGTTCTCACTAAGTTATGGTTGTAGGGTTTTGTTCTCACTAAGTTATGGTTGTAGGGTTTTGTTCTCACAAAGTTATGGTTGTAGGGTTTTGTTCTCACAAAGTTATGGTTGTAGGGTATTGTTCTCACAAAGTTATGGTTGTAGGGTTTTGTTCTCACTAAGTTATGGTTGTAGGGTTTTGTTCTCACTAAGTTATGGTTGTAGGGTTTTGTTCTCACTAAGTTATGGTTGTAGGGTTTTGTTCTCACAAAGTTATGGTTGTATGGTTTTGTTCTCACCAAGTTATGGTTGTAGGGTTTTGTTCTCACCAAGTTATGGTTGTATGGTTTTGTTCTCACAAAGTTATGGTTGTATGGTTTTGTTCTCACAAAGTTATGGTTGTATGGTTTTGTTCTCACCAAGTTATGGTTGTAGAGTCGAGCATCAGCTCTTAGTCCCTGTGTCTGTGTTGTTAGTGAATTCAGTGGCCACCAACCCTTCTGTTTTCTACCATACGTACTTTTATAACTGTGATTAAAGTTTATGTGTGTGTGTGTGTGTGTGTGTGTGTGTGTGTGTGTGTGTGTGTGTGTGTGTGTGTACTCACCTAGTTGTACTCACCTAGTTGTGTTTGCGGGGGTTGAGCTCTGGCTCTTTGGTCCCGCCTCTCAACCGTCAATCAACAGGTGTACAGATTCATGAGCCTATCGGGCTCTGTCATATCTACACTTGAAACTGTGTATGGAGTCAGCCTCCACCACATCACTTCCTAATGTGTGTGTGTGTGTGTGTGTGTGTGTGTGTGTGTGTGTGTGTGTGTGTGTGTGTGTGTGTGTGTGTGTGTGTATACTCTCACAATTGTATTCACCTAGTGGAACTTAAAGGGTCGAGTATCTGCTCTAAAGCCTCTCCTTTCGAGTATTTCTAGTACAATGCAGGGACTTGTCAATCTTTTTTTTTAATATATTTACATTTAAAACTGTATATATCGAATTGGCTTCGACAACTTCCTTATCTAGTTTTTCCACTTATTTTCAACCCTTACATTGAAAAAGTTCTTTCCTACATCTCTGTGATCATTTGTGTTTGCAGTTTTCAAATATGTCCTCTCGTTCTACTGATCCTTAAATTGAACATTGTTTCCATATCTACTTTGTCAATCGCCCTCTTAGTCCTCAAAAAGTCCACTACGGGCTCACCATAGCCCGTGCTGCTTGGAACTTTTTGTTCCAGGTAGCGAATCTTAAACAACAACAACGCTCTTAGTATGTTGTGCGTCGTTATCATATCTGCCTTATTCCTTCCTCTCTCCAGTGTAGTGATGATCAGTTCAATCTTTCCTCACAGCTCAGTTTCTTTAGCTTAGAAACGAGCCTTGTTGCATATTTTGTTATCATTTCTGGTTTTGTTTTGTATTTCTTTAGGTAAGGGTGTCATGCCTGGGCAGCATACTCAATAGTAACCCTCACAAAGGATGTATACAGCGCGCGGAAGGGATCTTTGTCAAAGTTCCTGAAGGATAACAAAACGTTCAACAGTACGGCATATGCCGCCCTCGTTATTCTGCTGATGGGTGTCTCTGGAGATTGATGTCCACTCCTAAGTCTCTCTCTCTCATTCATAAGTTGGAAGTTGTCTTCCCTTCATCCTGCACTATACGTCTTGCTGTAATTTCTATCTTCATAATCTTGCATTTGTCAGGGTTAAAGTAGCCATATTTCAGACTATCAATGGAGATTGTCCAGTACATCTTGTAATGTATTGCTGTTCTCCTCAGTTCTAATTCGCTTCATTCCCGCCAAACACACACCGAAACTACGACGTTGGTACAACGTTCGAACAAGTTTTAACACCTAACCAGTTATAACAACCAATATAGCAAGTTGTAACAACGTTCTAATACGTCATAAACACGTTAAGCCAAGATGTAACAACTTTATTATAAGGTGTAACAAGCGGAAAATAGAGACAGTTCCGGTTTGTGTTTCCAGGGTTAACTTAGCACCGTCAGCAAATATGGATAATAATGAGCTCAGCTCGTCTGTTAAACCGTTTACATATATTAGGAACAGGATGTCCCTAAAACCAGCCTTTGATGAGACTACCATTCATTACCACTCCATCCTGATAGCTCTCTTCTTACTAAGACTAGGTTGCATAGCATACAGTGCTATACAACACCTCCAGGTCAGCAAGTAGTGATAATAGACAACGTGCTATACAACACCTCCAGGTCAGCAAGGGGTGACAATAGACAACATGCTATACAACACCCCCAGGTCAGCAAGTAGTGATAATAGACAACGTGCTATACAACACCTCCAGGTCAGCAAGGGGTGACAATAGACAACGTGCTATACAACACCTCCAGGTCAGCAAGGGGTGACAATAGACAGCGTGCTATACAACACCTCCAGGTCAGCAAGGGGTGACAATAGACAACGTGCTATACAACACCTCCAGGTCAGCAAGGGGTGACAATAGACAGCGTGCTATACAACACCTCCAGGTCAGCAAGGGGTGACAATAGACAGCGTGCTATACAACACCTCCAGGTCAGCAAGGGGTGACAATAGACAGCGTGCTATACAACACCCCGAGGTCAGCAAGTTTGTGCTAGACTCAGCGCACGGCTCTACGGTTACAGAAGGGATATCCTCATCGTCATTTCATATCCGAATTTCCGCTCAGAAATGAGTTCTGCTTCGTGGGCGGAAATTTTGTACGATGTTAAAGGAAAATATCAGTGGAAAGTTAGAAACTCCAGTTGTGTTGATAGTTTCTAAGATTATGGGCCGCGATGGCGCGTGTGGGCTGTGACGTTCAGTCAGCATGGGATGTGTGTCTTAGTGACTAGCTTGTGTTGGCGAGTTAATTCGCTGCATCGATCAATTTTGCTAGTATTGATGAGTTTATGTTGGATGGATTTCGTTGTTCCCTATTTTTTTACACACACACACACACACACACACACACACACACACACACACACACACACACACACACACACACACACACACACACACACACAGGGGGAGCCGGTGGCTGAGCGGACAGCACGCTGGACACGTGATCCTGTGGTCCCGGGTTCTATCCCGGGCGCCGGCGAGAAACGATGGGCAAAGTTTCTTTCACTCTATGCCCCTGTTACCTAGCAGTAAATAGGTACCTGGGAGTTAGTCAGCTGTCACGGGCTTTTTCCTGGTGTGTGTGTGTGGGGGGGGGGGGATATATAGTAGTATTAGTAGTAGAAACCGTTGATTGACAGTTGAGGGGCGGGCCGAAAGAGCAGAGCTCAACCCCCGCAAGCACAACTAGGTGAATATAACTAGGTGAATACAACTATTTGAATACACACACACACACACACACACACACACACACACACACACACACACACACACACACACACACACACACACACAGCGCCTGAAGAGCGCCTGAAAGAACTGTGCTTTACACATTATAAAAAAAAGAAGGGAGAGGAGGGGATATGATAGGACCGTATAAAATACTCAGGGGGATTGACAGAGTGGACATAGACGAAATGTTCACAAGGAATAGTA